AAAGACCGATCCGTTTAGATCTTGTTGATTTGGTGAAGTAGTAAAGGAATGATTACGGACAGATTGTGTTGAATATAACGAAGGAATAATCTGCTGATTTGTCGTCGATTGAATCTGATTGTGAATAGCTAATGACTTTAGAAATAAATAATAATAATGAGATTCATGAATTTTAATGATAAAACATTAAATATAAATTCACTTTCATCATAAAATTTGTTCAAGTCGTATGTATGGTTCTCTGAAAGATTTATCTCACAAAAGTGTAAGAACTGAATTTACTTACTTGGTTTATTTGAGTTGTCTGTGGTATTTTTCGAACATAGGGAAAATTATACGTTAAATATCCGTTTGTTTGTTGCTGAGGAACGTATTCAACTATCTGGCCTACCCTTTCCTGCTTTGGTTGGTTATGAGGCGATTGATTCTGAAATTATAGGTGTATGTGGTGAATTTTTTAGTCATAAGTTATACTATACGTTGTTTATACATTGATACAAATATAAATGCCATCATCGAAAAATATTGATAAATTAATTACATACTTTTTTTTTTGCATTCTTTTTTTCTTTCAGTCCGGAACGTTGTTCGACTCGGTACGGCTAATTAAATGTTCCGAAATTTTTTATCAGACGAAATATGAATAATAAATAAAAACAACAGTAATACAAACCTCTCTACAAGCTTCTTGTTCTTGTTGCAAACTAGCTTGCTTTGCACGTGATTCTATCAACTGGGCATTTGATTCTTTAAGTTTTCTGCTAAGTATTCTAAGATCTTCTTGCAGTAGCTGAATTTCTACGGCATGCTTGCTGCTTTTCTCTTTTTCCTGCATAATAAAGAACACCCAAATTTATTTGAGTTGAATAATCGAATTGCTTGAATAAGGTATTAATATCAATAAATCGACAGAGGAAAAATGTTAAACATGGGAACCCCTAAAATCTCGCTTACTCTCATTGTATGATACTTTATCATCCCTTCAATGTGTTCATTTGCTTTTTTTAATCTGTTGTTAGCTTCTTTTAACTACAATCAAATTATACGTTAAAAAA